CAGGAGTTGGAAGCAACCATACCCTTAATTCCAAAACCAGGTAAGGAAATGTGGCAGTTACAGGCCCATTTCACTAATTAATGTAGACATTAAAATATTTACAAAAATCTTGGCCACTAAACTGAAAGCTCTACTCCCTGATCTAGATCTCAACTTAACCAAATGTGAGTTACTACCGCTCAACACAACACTGGACATAGACACACAACTGCAACAGAAATTTCACTTCACTTGGGCTCCTACCTCCATTAAGTACCTAGGAGTATATCTGCCAAGCAAGATTATTCAAGTATATGACTTGAACTTCTCCCGTCTTCTATCAGCCATAGCCAAAGATATGAAAAACTGGCACAAACTACGTTACAGATGGTTCAGTCGGCTGAACATTCTAAATATGAATGTGTTGCCTTGTATCCTCTATGTACTGCAGATGCTTCCTATAACACTCCCCAAAAAATTATTTGACACGGTTAGGACTTTAATTACGTCCTTCCTATGGTCATGTTCACATCCCTGACTAGCTAATTCTCTCCATACTAAACCCCAGAAAAAAAGGGGGGATGGGACTACCTAACATAGATACATAACACAAGGCCATTCACCTAACCTGGGTATATGAATGGGCAAATGAGACCACAACTATAGTTGAGCGGACACCTGGATGTTCGGGTCCGGCGGGTTTGGCTGAAGTTTGAAAAAAAGTTTGGGTTCGAACTTAACCCCGAACCCCATTGAAGTCAAAAATGGCTCTAAAAAAGTCCTGGAAAGGGCTAGAGGGCTACAAAAGGAAGTAAAATGGGGGTAAGAGTAGGACAAGTGCCCTGCAAACAAATGTGGATAGAGAAATCACTTAAAATAACATAAAATACCTAACAATTACAAATACAGCTGAGCCATAAAATAGCACTAGATGGAATCTTTGATTTTAGCTTTGAGAGAACATAAATCAAAATCTAAAGCATGGCTGTCAGGGGGATCACCAGAATTATCCATTTGAGAGAGGGTTGGAGTGCAGGGTACTCTCTTTCATTGTTCAAACTGATCTCAACTCCTGGTGCATGGAGAAAAGGCCTTCACGGCGGTGACCTTGGCGGTGTAGGTGGAAGTGGCGGTGGAAGAGGCGAAGGTAGCCAACACTTTTTTATATATATATATTTTTTTAATTGGGGTAGCCCCCAAAATATAACAGTTGCGGCCTGTGGTGCACTTCTTGCAGTCCTGATGCATGGAGAAATGATCAACTCCTGATGCATGGAGAAAAGGCCTTCACAAGCCTCTGCTATTGTGTACATAGTTTATACTAAGTGACCCATAGGTTGAGGAAGCGGTGACCATGGTGGTGTAGGTGGAAGCGGTGGTGTAGGAGGAGGAGGTAGCCGACACTGTGTTTTATTTGTTTGTTGTTTTTTTTTTATTTATTTATTTTTTTATTGGGGTAGCCCCCAAAATATTGGGACATATAAAAAAAAAGAAACATTTGCGCCTGAGGTGCATTTCTTGCAGTCCAATAACGCCATCAGGTTTTTAAAACTGTCCGTCTCCACCAGACGGAATGACAGCATTTCAAAGGCGATACATTTTGAAATGCTGGCATTCAGCGCAAAGGATCGCGGGTGGCTAGGGGGGTACTTCCTCTTTCTCTCCAGTGTTTGGGAGATGGACAGCTGAATGCTTCCATGGGACAGTGAGGAGATGCTGGACAATTGTGTACCTGGCCTATGCTGGTGCAGGAACCCACCCTCCGAGCCACTTGTGAATGACTGGCCTGATAACCATGGAAACGACCCCTCTTCCTCCTCCTCTTCCTCCTGTGCCACATCCTCTTCCATCATCACCCAAAGCATTTTTTCCAGGAGACATAGAAGCGGGATAGTAAGGCTGAGAACGGCGTCATCGGCACTGGCCATGTTAGTGGAGTACTCAAAACAGTGCAACATGGCACACACATCTCGCATTGGAGGCCCACTCATTGGTGGTGAAGTGGTGCTGTGGTGCAGAGCGACTGACCCGTGCGTGCTGCAGCTGAAACTCCACTATCGCCTGCTGCTGCTTGTGGGCACGTCGCATATGAGGTGGTGAGCGGGAAGGCTGAAGTTACGCTGCAGCGCAGACAGGCGAGCAGGGTGAGAACACCGAAAGCGCGCACAGACGGCACGCACTTCCTGCAGCAGCTCTGATATGTATGGGTAGTTTTTCATTTCTGCACCACCAAATTTAGCACATGCGCCAGACAAAGGATGTGTGTCAAACCAGCTAGGCCCAGAGCTGCTACGAGATTTCACCCATTATCGCACACAACCAGGCTGGGCTTCAGGCTCAATTGCAACAACCACTCATCAGTCTGTTGTTCCTGTGTGGTGTGGGGTTTTTCCCCCAAACATATGAGTTTTAAAACAGCCTGCTATTATTTCCCCCTGGCTGTGCTGAAGTTGGTGGTGAAGGTGTTACGCTGACCGCATGAGGAGGTGGTAGATGAGGAGGAAGCGGAGTAGAAGGAGGCAACAGGAGGCAAAGCTGTGTACCCAAATAAAACGTTTTAATCTGGAACTGTGTCCCATTCGGTTACTGGGGAAATGGGTCTGACCTATTCTAATCAAAGGGGATAACCATCGGTTACCCAGATCCCGCTTCAGTTGGTGGCAAGCAGCGGGATCCCATGTCCCTGCCAACATGGAGGATGACCAGGCACGCAGTGAGGCAATGAACCCTGGCCAGGGGCCGGAGATGAGGAGGAAGTGCGCAAGGAGGTGGAATGGCACCTGGCATATTATCGAGAGCCACCCTCAGAGGAGATTGTCAGCAGGACCTTTTTGGAGGTGCAAGCCTATGTCCTTGCCAATAGACAGAGGGTGACCTCCATGAACCCAGATGAAGGAAGAAGGGAGCAGAGGGTACCGGGAAGCACCACCACCCTGGCCCACAAGCTACCATACAATGCCTTCAAAGAGTTCAAGGAAGCAGAAGAAGGCATCAATGACTTTTTACAAGACTTTGAGCGCCAGTGCCTACTCCAAGACGTGGACCCCAGCGACTGGGTCGCCATCCTGGCCAGCAAACTAGTGGTGAAGTCAGTGGATATTTACTGGGCTGTACCAGAAGAGCAGATCAGAGACTATCCCTTTATTACACAAATCCTCATGGCCCAGTATGCGGTCACCCCCGAGCAATACCGCCGAAAGTTTAGGGAGACCTGGAAAGGGGAGAAGGACTCTCATGCGGAATGGGCATGCCGCATCACAAGGACCACCCTCCATCCCTACCTATTAGTGAAGATCCGTTCGGTAGAGTAGCTGTCGACATTATAGTTGCGCAGGCACTTTGTTGACTCTAGAGAACCTCGGGCCAATCGCACGTCCCCGTGACGGCGACTTTGCATTCAGATGTCTGCCCTATCAACTTTCGATGCCACTTTCTGCGCCTACCATGGTGACCATGGGTAACAGGGAATCGGGGTTGGATTCCTGAGAGGGAACCTGAAAAATGGCTACCACATCCAAGGAAGGCAGCAGGCGCGCAAATTACCCACTCCCGACACGGGGAGGTAGTGATGACAAATAACAATACAGGACTCTTTAAAGGCCCTTTAATTGTAATGAGTCCACTTTAAATCCTTTAACTATGATCAATTGGAGGGCAAGTCTGCAGCTGAAACTCCACTATCGCCTGCTGCTGCTCGCACAGTCTCTCCAGCATGTGCAACGTGGAGTTCCACCTTGTGGGCACGTCGCATATGAGGCGGTGAGTGGGAAGGCCAAAGTTACGCTGCAGCGCAGACAGGCGAGGAGCAGCAGGGTGAGAACGCCGAAAGCGCGCACAGCCGCTACAGTGAATGTCACATCCTGTTCCAAGTTGCGGATCAGTCTGGTAATGGCTTTTTATTGAAGCTGCATCAAGGTCCTGGTATGTGGCCGCACAAAAGCTGGTGCTCAACACCAGGGGGTGTGTGGTTACCCTGCACCAGACCCTGCTAATCCATTCCACACTGTGATTCCTAACTTCAACATCAGGCATACTGGATCCTGGTCGTCCGACCGCCGCCCAGGCAGTGTCTGGGTCCCGGTCACTGGACTGCTGCCCACAATGTGAAACTTCGAATGGCTCGTTAAATCTGGGACGAACCCGAACTTATTGTTCGGGTTTGCTCAACTCTATTATGGATCCTTCGATCGCTACATCTGTTACTTGGATAACTGGTAATTCTCTAGCTAATACATGCCGATGAGTGCTAGGGGACGTCCGCTCCGCTTTTGCACCCTGCTTCCTCTTATGCTGTGCTGGTGCCTCTGTGCGACCAGCGCCTTGTCCTCCAAACTGCACATGTCACTCACATGACCTTGATTCCATGTAGGGTCTAGGACCCCATCATCCTCCACATCATCTTCCACCATTCCTAAACCCTGCCCTTCTTGCCGGTCTGCACACTGCAGAAAGCCACAGCAGTTGTGTGTTTTTCCAGCATGTAAACTCTGCAAAGGACATATGGGAATTGTTTTAGAATTGTATCCAGGCAACTGTTTTCGTTATAAACTGACCTCTCAGTTTGACTTGTGAGGGTATTGCCCCTGAATTACAATATTGTTATATTGGTATTTGACTGTTCTATTTGACTGTCAGATATGAAGTGCAGGCCGCAAATGTACTATTTTGCACCCAAAAAAATAGAATTTGTCAAACTGTGCTGTAACCACAGTATTTGAAGGTTCTATTTGACTCTCAGATATGAAGAGCACACCCCAAATGTACTATTTAGCAGTTTAGCACCAAAACAGTTAGAATTTTTACAACTGCGCTGTAACTGCACTATTTGACGCTTCTATTTGACTCTCAGATAAGAACACTCCCCAAGTGTACTCTTTAGCAGTTTAGCACCAAAACAATTAGAAGTTTTATAACTGCGCTGTAACCGCAGTATTTGATGCTTCTATTTGACTCTCAGATATGAAGAGCACGCCCCAAATTTACTATTTAGCATATTAGCACCCAGAAAATAAGAATGTTTACAATTGCGCTGTAACCGCAGTATTTGATGCTTCTATTTGACTCTCAGATATGAAGAGCACCCCACTAATGTACTATTTAGCAGATTAGCACCCAGAAAATAAGAATGTTTACAATTGCGCTGTAACCGCAGTATTTGACGCTTCTATTTGACTCTCAGATGTGAAGAGCACGCCCCAAATTTACTATTTAGCAGTTTAGCACCAAAACAATTTGAATGTTTGCAATTGCGCTGTAACCGCACTATTTGACGCTTCTATTTGACTCTCAGATATGAAGAGCAGGGCCCAAGTTTACTATTTAGCATATTAGCACCCAGAAAATAAGAATGTTTACAATTGCGCTGTAACCGCAGTATTTGACGCTTCTATTTGACTCTCAGATATGAAGAGCACGCCCTAAATGTACTATTTAGCAGTTTAGTACCAAAACAATTAGAATTTTTACAATTGCGCTGTAACCGCACTATTTGACGCTTCTATTTGACTCTCAGATATAAAGAGCACCCCACTAATGTACTATTTAGCAGATTAGCACCCAGAAAATAAGAATGTTTACAATTGCGCTGTAACCGCAGTATTTGACGCTTCTATTTGACTCTCAGATATGAAGTGCAGGGCCCAGATTTACAAGTTATTTGGCAGTAAGTTCTCATTTATTCTTAAATTTCTATGTTTGTCAAAAAAATCAACAATTTAAAAAATAAATAAAATTATTTGGCATAAATTGGTGGTAAAATGGTTGCGTGAAAAGAGTCAAAATATCACAAGTTTAATACCCTAGGTTGTCTTCTTTTAAAATATATATACATGTGAAGGGTTATTCAGGGATTCCTGACAGATATTAGTGTTACAATGTAACTTGCGTTAATTTTGAAAAAAAAATGGTTTGGAAATAGCAAAGTGCTACTTGTACTTATAAGACTATAACTTTCCAAGCTAAGCTAAGAACATGTTAACATTGGACCTTTCTAAACTCAGGACAAAATGTAGAAACTATTTAGCATGGGTGTTTTTT